GAAGGATGTTTAACATGCACTGATCTATGAATGCACAGCTATGGCATCTAAAACATTAAATACAAGTACTTCAGTAACATAAACAAACACGCAAGGAAACACATTAAGTTAATTCTTTCCCTTTCTGTAGCACTAACTTATTGCCTTGTTTGTTCAATTACAGGCACAGCATATTGTCACTATGTGTTGGTTATAACTCATAGCTCTAATGTTTAGTCTTAATTACATAGGGTTATGTGCTGAATTCTCAGTCTATTACAGAATTATCACTAATGTTATAGTTGGCTTAGTTTTAGTAAATGTTCAAGGCATCAAGTCTGAGACAGGGATTAATATGTTGGTAAAATCAGTTCCAGTGTTAGACAACATGGAGCCTAGTTGTATGCAACATTAAGGCAGATGAAGCTCTTGAATATGGGATCACAACTTAAATCTACAAGATGAACTAGATAATGCCACATTCTGAGGCAACTGATGAATCATCAGGCAGAGAGGACACTTCATACTCTGTTACTAGCAGGTGAAAACAACACAGAAATTGCTAACTACCATTATAAGCTAGTCTGATTGGTATAAGGTTTTGTGCCTTCCTGAACCTTATACTAGTCAGACCTGTTTATATCTGGTAAACAGGCATTATAGCAATGGGAAGGTATCTTTATACCCTACTGGCAAGTGTGCACCCACTTCAAAAATGACAGCCCCATTCTAATAGGTTACTGGCCCACTGTCATTCACCTGCCTTATTAGAGCATACAGGGCAAGGAACACATGTTCAACGGCAAGAGGCTGACGATTGGAGACAAAAATTAACACCCAAACAGATGCCATGGTAGAAATAGTGCCTGTACATTCAGTAGAGGAAATTGACTTTTCAACAAGAGGAGAAAAACAAAGAAACTGATGTCAAGAGTCCAAACACTCAGTTAAATTGTATTTAGGTTTTACTCTTATATTTTAATTAATTATGTATTATTTGTGTTTTAAAATTAATATTTAAAAAGTTTAATAATTTTTTTTAGTATAACCCAAACTTTCCCTCACTACGCGAAGCTTACGTAAGTAAACCAGACTATAAACATTTTGCTGGAGGCTAAAGAAACTTTCCCTCAGTACGTGAGGCTTACTTAAGTAAATCAGACTATAACATTTTGCCGGATGCTAAAGTATCTCTGCTGGTGATACTGTTATATTGCTTGAAGGTAAACATTGATGTGTGTTAAAATAAATAATAAATGGAAAAGAATGGGAAAATAAAATAAAAACATTAACCCTTTAGCAACAGGCATCCTTTACTGTACATTTCATGAGGTGTTTAATGACTTACATTCAAAATGTAATTAAAGTACTTTTTGTTGATGCTATACCAATTAGGTTAGCATAAAATCATAGCTAATAATCCATATCTTAATAGTATATATGATTTCAGTTTTTGATTTTATAAGGCAACATTAAAAATCCAGAATTTCCCCCAGTGTGAGAAATGTGACATTTTTTCTCTAGATATCCCGTTCTGTAATTTATTCAACACCCCTCAAATAAATATGAAATTTAACGTAAATTACTCACTGTCAAATCATCATTGCTCAGACAAACCGTAATTTTTATAGCCTTCAATCTTGTTTGCTTACAGAGCCATCATATAGAAAATCAGATCCCTCTTGACACACCCACCTGTTAAATCCTCCCTTTCAGTATTTGTTAATATATATAGTTCTCTCTTACGTTCAATTTTATATTATTTATAACCAACAGAAAGCCAAGGTTTTCATCTATCAAATGACATATTATATTACATTGTTTTCTGGATAGAGAATTGTCAGTTTCTCTTTCAGTACAAGCTTCATTTCCATGAGAAATATATCAACTAGCATGGGTGAATTTGTAACGGCTCTTGTCGCATAGTTAGAAAGCCAGAAAAATTGTATTAGTTATAGGACATTGTCTGTTTTGTGCACATTATTATTCTATGTTCTTTCGTACATTATTTAACTAAATAAAAATTATTTACTTCACTACTACCATTTGTATAAAAAGTAGGGTTAAGTGTCATCTACAGTCAACAGTAAAAAAAAGGAAGACCCAGATAAGTACTTTATTTCTTGTTTTTCATGGTATTCTTTATTTATTATTATAAAAGTAAGAAAAATATAAAAATAGGAGCCTAGTTAAAGTTAGATTAGGTAAAATAAATAGTAATATAATAAAAATGTTTCACAAGGCATGCATGCAAGCAACTCGGAGTAGCTTGTGGATAATGTAATTTGACAGCATAACATGAACTCCATGTTCCTCAAGTGATTTTCCTCTTCTAATGACATGAATAGTAGTTAGACATGGTTCAAAGGGCAATAAAACAATAAAATTTAAGTATAAACAGATTTATAATGTTATATGTTTAAAGCTACTTAGGACAAATGAATGTAGTTTCATGTTACAATTTGAAATCATTTTAGAAAGAAAAAAAGGATAATTTAGATTTAATTCGATTTTTTTGGTGGTTATGATGTGAGTAAAGTTGACCAAACTTGTATAGAGTTAGGGTATAGAAAATAATAGATAAAATATTAAGTTTTACTGAAAACAAACATTTGAAATCTATTTAGGAGGTTTTGCAAATGAAATTTGAGATTT